CTAGAGAGGGCACTAACATTAGGTCTACCGACCCATAGTACTTCTACCAAAAAGGGCACCATGCTAGTCTACCAATCAAGCTTTATTTAGGATAGCTCATTGACTTTCTTAGAGACAATTTTCTACATTTTGGCCCACCATCTATAAGTCTATCATTTCACACAAGAAGGAGACACCATCATAATGTCTACCGCTTCAAGAATTTATATTCACTTAGGGGTCTAGACTCATCATGAAAGGGCACCTTACTTAGGTCTACCGGTTCAAGACATATCCTAGAGGCCTCATTCACCATTCATAGAAATAGCACTTTACTTAGGTCTATCGATTCTAAGCATTCATTCATTCATTACTCAAGAAAAGGAGGCCTAAACCTACCAAATCAAGAGATCACATTCAACAACTTTCATGTATCAAGGAAAGACACCTAAGTCTACCAACCAAGATACAACCTCACAATATAGAGACCCTTCAAATTCTAACATCAACACACACGACCATTATTGTAGAACTTACTTCAATCAAAATACAATAATACTTTATATATATCACTTGAGATCACATGAACACCTTCACACTACACCATCACATATAACTTAACATGATAATACTCCAATTCATCATATAATGCCTTCAAGTCCATGATCACAATATATATACAATAAGTAAACACTTCCATCATAAGTGGATCAAACAATATTAGAACAATTCTATTATAACAAGAGAATTAGGTCAACTTACCCTTCACCCAAGCCATGATAACCATTACTCAAGTCTCCAACAATTAATCATATAATAGGTATAGATAACAATAAATATCAATAATACAATACAATCTAAATACAATTCTAACAATATCCAATCATAATCGTAAAACCCACTTTATAAGCCAACTTTAGGAACTTAGTCAAATCATGGGTTCATAGAGTTTTTCACCTAAAAATCCTCAATTAATAATAAATATAATCATCGTTTATTCATTAAAAATGTTTGATGCAAGAACTTATAAGTTTGAGTAAGAATTGAGATTTTTCACGATTTTTGGAAACTTGAAAACTATTTTGAGATTGACTCTAGGGTGGAAATTGCCCTAGATAAAGGATCACCATACCTTAATAGTTGAAAGCCCACGGAAATTGAAGACGAAAAAACTTGAAATCTTTTCTAGCTTGAGCTTGACCTTGACCTTCAATGGTGTTCTAAGGAGAACTATTTGGGAGGAAAGGGTTTTGATTTAGGTGTCGAAGTCTAAATGATGGTTTAAACGGTTAAATGCTCTTAAAATACCCTAAAATACATAAAATAACCGCCCAAGTATTTAACTATCCAAGGGTGAAATTTACCAAACCACCCTTAGCTTGGCCGACTTGCACCAGTAAAATAGTGGTGACTTACGAGACCTCAACCAACGAGCCATAAGTGGAGTGACAGACCGTCTTGTCATGTCGTGTTTTTGAACAGAGACTTGGCCATGGGAGGTAAGTATCCCTATGATAAGTCTTGACCTATGGAGGAAGAATTACCTTCTGTAAGTCATGGCTGTAGGTCACCACTTTTTGACAGCTTTGGGGTTTAACTTAGGGTCCTTGAGGAGGACCCTTAGGGTGGTCCTTGCGGAGTCGTACCCGGACGTTTTACCCCTACACATGTACATCTAGGTATTAGGGTCTCCTTTTCAAGTTTTAGACTCAAAACAACACAAATCCAATGACAACATACTAGAACACACTAGCACCCAAACGACTAGTTTCCAAACATCATGGATGTCTCTTGAGTTTAATCTCTAAAACCACCAAACTAACTTCTAAAGTCATTTTTAATCATTTATACTAGTTTACCAACTTATGAAATACATGTGAAGCTCTAGTTCATCCTATTTCATTTTAGGTTCATTACAGAGTTAGTTCCACAGGTTGCAAAGCTTGTAATATATTTTCTGTGGAGGTTTAGTGATTTAGTGAAGTTGAAGTTAAATCCTGTAGGGGTACATGTCGTGATTTTTTTCACCTTTTGAGTTGGGGGTTTTCCACGTAAAAATATTATGTTTTTACATACTGTCCTGACTACTTTGTTGAAACACGTAAGGTGACCTTTTTTGAACTTAGGCAAAAAGTTGAAATCAACAAATTACTCGGTTGTGCAGACTAATAAAAACGTTACTTAAAAATAAGTTTATACTAATTTTATAAAAATATATTATTTTAATAAATTAATTTTAATAATGACTGAGTTTGATCAAAAATTTAAAGTCGACGCAAAGGAGAAAGGGTAACAAGCCCATTAAAATATGGTAATATCTAAAGTCATGCAAATAAGCAAGTGTAACAAACCCATTAGGTCGAGCACTAGAACTACTTTTTTATATGAAAAACTTTCACGTAAATTTTAAATGAAAATTTTGAACCATTTCTTTAACTACGGTTATTTAATTAGTGGGTATTTCTTTTAAGTAATTAAATTGATTATTAATGAGTCATGTCTGAAATTTATTTCCGTTAGTCCATGTTTCTTAAACGGTGTTATAAAATAATATATTAGGGATGTCCACTACATCAAGAAGTTACTACATTAGTTCCATCCATTATGAAGATAATATCCACATTTATGATCATTATTCTTGTAACTTTTCACCTCCATAACCTCCTTCATTATATTCATGTTTAATGTCATGTTTATAACTAACCTTTTGTATGCCTCTATGTTACACTATTAATAGAGGCATAAGGGTTTATATTGTATACACTTGGAGATTTGGTGAACATCTGAATAAGAGAAACTCTCATATCTTGTCACCCTACAGTGCCGACTCTTGCCTATAATTTTTTAGGTCAATGCCTAGGGGGCCTCAAATTTTTATAAATAAAAAATAATGTTTAATTCTTTTATGAATAAGAATTAACTTTTGTCTCTTTAAACTCCTTATGCACTCTATTTCTTCATATCTTTGAAAGTTAGAGCGATATTATGTAAAAAATATAAATCAATAACCAAAAAGTGTTGAACAAAGTAAATTACAAATATTTTTTTTATTTCTTCGTAATTTTTAGATTAAAGTAGGATATACCAAGTTATCAACTTTTTGAACCAGATTCTATAATTTTAATCCCTATCTTTATTTAAAATTTATCAACTCATTACTCATAGAACTATTCATATAATAATTTTCTCAATAAAATGATGTTTTCAATGTTGAATTGATAAAATCTTGCTTAAAAACAATAATTTAAAAAAGTATTTAAAAAAATCATTTATAAAAAAATATTAAGATATAATTTACATCTAAAAATTTTAGAAAATAAATAAATTCAGATAAAATTTATTTAAATTTTAGGCCTCTAATCAAAATTTTGCTTTAGGCCTCGAATTATGTTGATCCGCCCATTTCCCTCTATTTCTATTGCTATCATATTATATATTTCTTATCTTATTTTCCTTTAGTTTTATAACATGTTGTTGACACGATTATTCTACTATTGAAGGATTTAAAAATAAGGTAAATTACTACATAATCTATTTTATATTTTACTTTTGATTATGCATCATTGGTTTTCTTACCATCTCAGTGTATGAGTCCATTGTAGTCCATACACTTTAGGTGTAGTAGTCATTTCCCAATCAATTATGCATCATTGGTTTTCGTGATAATTGATTGGGAAATGACTACTGCACCTAAAGTGTAGCCTACCCACTAATATTCAACAACTTTTAGTAAATATTAATTCAATCACCCATTTTGCGAAATTGACATTCAATTTGATCACACTCCCAAGAACTACCCTCTACTTGATTACTCCTGATTGTTTATAATTGTTAATTGTTCACTTAAATTCCCCCTTTGACATTAATTATCAACACCTTGTCATTTATTTTCTTATTTCGAATGTCTACATCTACAGACGATTAGAACACTATTTCACTTTGTAATTAAATTCTTTACTGTAGCACTCTCTGTGGGATCGACTCTAATTCTTAGTTGGATTTATACTTGTTAGCGATCGTCTACACTTAGAATCAGATGAAGTGTAGTTTAGTATTATCAATCAATAGTAATTCTCGAGCGCCAACCACGTCTAGGGTATAGGCTCGTGACATGGCACCATACTTGAAAACATGAACATCATGCATTTTTGAAATGTGACAATGGCATTCTCTTGAAAGTGAATTTTTTAGCGATCTTCAATAACATTAGCAATTTGGTTGTACCCAAAATAGTCGTTAAGAAAACAATAGTAACTTTTGTCTATAAACATGCCTAACATCTAATCTATAAAAGACATGAAAGTGGTCCTCTTATGGTATTTCATGCACACTCTCTAACCTGTCACTAAGTACTGGGAAACAATTGTCATGCCACCCTTTTTTGGGCACGTGTTGAACTGGGATCACCCAATTGCTATTAGCAATTTAATACACAATCTTTTTTTAATTAAATACATAATGTCCACGTTCAATCACTTAGTGATATTTTTCTCCACCACTTCTTGTATGAGTGAATTTGACATTCTACAATGCTCAATTCTTTTAAATGCAATTTTCCAACAACTTACTTTTATGAGTGAAAATATTTGAAGGTATACCTATGATGTAAATAATGGATCAGTCTAAAGTTTTTCTATGCACTTTTAAACTTGAAAACAGAGCTTTCATTGATATACTAACATTTTTATAGAAATAATCACAGGTAGAGTTTTATTCAGTTCCAAATAACGTGTTACTATATATATACTCTTTTTTCTTACCTAAGTCTTTTTCACTAAAATTTACCTAATAAAATTTAACTAGACATTTTATTTATGAACATTCAATGAAAAGTTTTATGGATTTAATACATTTGATAAATTTTCATTCAATGGATGATGTTCTATATATGTCCATAGTTGATACGAGGCTTAATTTTAAAACAATTTTTAGGTGATTTTATAAATACTTTTTTTTTTTTGTAATTTAAATATGAAATGATATCATAGATTAGGAAGATACCATAAAAGGAAAAGTAAAATAAAATAAAAAATTAGAGAGATTTGAGTAATACCAACATATGATCGATCATCTTTGATCAGTGTGAACTCTAGCAACGCTAACCAAAAAATAAAACCCCCAATCTGAGGAGTTGCTATCAGAACCCTAACCCTAACATTCAATCCTCGTTTGGAAATAGGGAATGGGAAAGAAGAAGAAGAGAGCGTCAGATAAGGTTTGGTGCTATTACTGTGATAGGGAATTTGATGATGAGAAGATATTGGTTCAGCACCAGAAAGCCAAACACTTCAAGTGCAATCATTGCCATAGGAAGCTCTCCACTGCTAGCGGCATGGCCATTCACGTTCTCCAGGTTCACAAGGAGACCGTCACCAAGTGCGTAGCATTTAATTCATCAAATATATTTTTAGGAGATATTTGAATACAAATTTCATTTTCTCCCAATTACTCATGTTTTCTTTGGAACTAGGAAGAAACAAAAGAGATTTGTCCTTAGTCTTGTTGTAAAGATTTGTGCTTTATATATACCTCTAAACTTGACTGCTTCTAATGTATCTGTGTATGATGATATTTGTTATTGATATGAAACTTGACTGCTTCTAATGTATCTGTGTATGTGATAGAAACACCAAAATATTTAAGGCCAATTTGGCCATATACAGGAGAAGCCTATGAAATATAAGACACCCAATCCTCTGTACATACAAGAATTACATGGGTGCACCCAAAGAAAATAAGGGATCGGAGACTACTCCTAAGTTGAGCAAAGCTCATTGTCACCGTCACCATCGCCCTTTAAAAATTTCCCTGATTTCTCTCTTTCAAAATGACCCACATTAAAGCAAGAAGAGTAACATTTCAAGCCTTATGCCTTCTTCTTTTGGCTCCACTCTTCCAGCTGAACAACTCTTTTGTGGATCTTGGCACTGCCCAAGAAACTCCTAACCATCTAAAGATATCCTCCCGTAACCTCATAGCTGATTTGCAGTGTAGTAAAATATAATTCATGTGCTCACCTGCTTCCTTTCAAAGGAAACACCAGCTCAAGAAAACAACCTTTTGTATCCTAAGATTCTCTGTTGTCAAAATCACCCCTTTAGAACCACGTGAAGAAGCACACATTTAGGAATCAAAACCGTGATATGTGGAAAACTAACCTCTGCACCAGAAGCTTTTCATTTAAGGAATTACTTGAGAACAAATTGTTATTTCCCAACTGAAAGCATTAGGTTGTCTGTCAACGGTTCACATTGCTGTTGAAGTAAAACTAGCAATCTTTGAAAAAAGGCTCATCCCCTCAAACTTGTTACGTTATTTCTAGATTTAGGTTAAGTCTTTTATACAAATTTGATGGATTCCAAACACGATTTTCTTGCAAACTTGTAAGTTATATTCCTCACCAATCAACAATCAGGACATGCCGGAGACCTCCAAATATTGTGGACACTTGTAGATTAAGACTAATTAGAGAAACCCTAAAAGCTCTACTAACTGATCAGCTTCCTCTACAATCTTCTTTACACCAAATATAAAAGTTGATAATACAATTCCATTTAATTTTCTGGGTAAGATTAAACATGTCTTCGAAACACCTCTCATTACTTTCCTCTACTCTGTGCACTATATGCATGATGGAATTGCTTTCCACCAATCCACTAATTTCCTCATGCATATATGATGAGAAAAAGAACGAAAACGTTCACGTTTTGATAGAGTAGATGGGAAAGGTCACATGCTCTTCTAGTGGCTCAAGAGCAGAACTTAAAGTTAGATCTGTTAGTTTTAACCAATAATGTGTACTATTCTGTTAGCTTTTAGGGTTTTCTTTTGTCAAGACCAAATATGTCTACTTTTACAAATATGAAGGATGTTGTAAGTTTAGAGGTATATATAAAGGATCAAAATACTTCTACACACATACTTAAGAACTATTTTGGGTTTTGCACATGTACGTGTAAAGTTCCTTACAACCTATCATCCATAAGGGTAAATCTTAAAGGTTTTGGTTTTACTATGTGGTCTGTTTGATATGACATAAATATTGATGAAGTCATTTTTAAGTGTTCGGTTACTTTAAATTGTGTACGATGTTACTCCTGATCCAACCCCCCAAAAAAAGAAAGTTAAAGCCTCGTTTCTTGTCCATTTATCTCCATAGATTTTCAGATCACCTAAAGTTGCCAGCTCAAGTGACTGATAACCTTTCCAGGAGAAAACTAGCTATAAACTATCTACTGTATCATTTAAGTTGTCTTGTTTGAGGGGGAGGGTGGAAGAGGAGGAACGTTTGCATGCTGTTATTTACAATTCATTGGGAAAATTTAAAATGATTTCTTGTTACAGGGTACCAAATGCCAAAGAAGGCAGAGAATCAACAGATATTGAAATATATGGAATGGAAGGAATCCCACCGGATGCGTTAGCTGCTCACTATGGAGAGGAAGGTATGGCAATTGTAGTCTGATATTAAAGAATTTGCCCTTTAAGAACTGGAGGTTTGACTCCTCTTTGTACTTTAGAAAGTTAAGAGTTACTTTTGCATTTTTTACCTTGCTATTCCATTCCATGGGACCACTGGCGGACTCAAGATTTTTGCTCAGGGGTTTAAAGTATAATAAGAAGTTCAGGTAGTAATGCCAGTGCGCGGTGAGCGTAGTAGCCGCTTGGCATGCTCTTTGTACAAGAACCATGATATTTCATTGGTTTATAAAAGTAAAGACTAAACTAATCAATGATATCGAGTACAAAGATACATTGATAAGAATTTTAGCGGATCAACTGAATCTGTATTACATAAATTAATTCCTGAAAACGAGTGAAAATTAAATGATGAAAAAGGGAGCGAGACGGGGAAAAAATATGTACCTTATCATGCAAATTTAACTTACTTTATCATACCATATTAAAAATTTCCTTCTACTTTTATCATGCTCCATCGAGCATTCTTAAAATTTCTTGTGTTTTTTATACTTTTATTTTGTAATGTTTTACTTTAATTTTCACTTTTTTAAAATTTTAAATTAGTTTTCATTCTATCACATATTACTATTAAAATCGTCAAGATTTTCTAAAATTGTGTAAGAATAGAGTTGCTAATATTATAATGCATATTCAGAAGATAAATAAATAGCATTGTCAATTTTTTTAGTTCATATAGTTCAATTTACTGGGTTAGTTATAATTTGTAAAAAAGACAATTAACAAATAAATCAAATAAGTTTAGTTCCCATCCCTCTAAAATTAGAATAAAAAATATAAAAGAAATTCCATGAAATCTATAAATTAATATTTTTAAAATGATGTTGACGATATTTAAGTTGCTTCATTCAATTACATCTGATTTACCTTTTTTTTTAAAAAATAATTTATATTTCTATCTCAATTTCAAGTCAAGTATAATTCATCATATTCTAAAAGAGTTATTCAAGTTAGAGTATGAAAAAGAGTTACGTTGAAACAACATGAATAATAGATACAAAAATAAAAATAATCTTTAAAAATAAAAAGAATGTGTCTAATAAATTTAAACAAAAACAAATTAAAATGAAGAAATGGAATAAAAGGAAAAATAATGAAAAGAAGAAGGTCTAAGCCCAAAAGTTACATTTTCCAAAGCATTAAAAAGAGGGGAAAAATGCTACAATGAGATTTGAACCCGTGACCTAGGGGCATTTCTTGAACCACTTATCCACGCCAAGTCTATACTTTATTTTCAGGGGTTCATTTTAATATATATACCCATAAAATCAGAATTTCATGATATATAATTTTTTGACGAGGGGGTCCACCTAGGTCCGCCATTACATGGGACTATCCAATTTGTACTCTTCTTACAGAAAGATGGTTGCACTAAATTTGTTTATATACAGATAAAGTCAAGATTTGAAATAAATAAAGTTTAAGTGTTAGTTTGAATTGTTAGGGGGGCTTTCTAGCACATTTATCATATAAATATCCTATTATTATCAGTCTTAGAATTATATTTTTTTCAACATGGGCTCCTCAGGTTTTGTAATCTGTTGAAGCCTCTAATTTTCAGAAGTTGGCGGTTTAATTGTTACCATCTCGATAAACTAAAGGCAGTTAGCTGAGTTGTCGACTTCTCAGTTTCTGATTTTAGGATTCTTGAGATTTTTATGCCTTTCTTATCTCCATACTCGAGTCGATACAGGTTTAATTCTATCTCTCCAGTGCTGCATATTGCATTACACTTTAATTTTAAAAATGTTTTTTCCACTCTTATCTCGCGACTGCAAACTCTAAACTTTTCCTCTAATGGATTGCATTTTCTTGTAGAGGATGAGGCCGTGGCAAAGACTGCCAAAGTAGACATCCTATCATCCCAGTATGTTGGTGGTGTGCTTCCAGGATCATTAGCTGCCGGTTATCCTCCCCGGGCAACTTTCGGCACAGTACCACCACTGTATGTTTGCATGGATATACTTCCCATCTTTTGAAATTTCCTGATGTTTGAAGAAATGTGGAGTTCTTTTTCATTCATATGCTGTTCGTCAAGGATATCCATTGTTCTTGAACTTAAAATTGAGGTAGAAAAAATATATTTTAAAGATAAGGTAAATTAAATTTAATTGAATGAAGAAGTTTGGAAGGCATGAATATTCCTTGATATTTCTTTCTTATTTTTTCCAGTTCTATTCTAAACTAAATTTATTTGATTTATTTATCTTTTTTATATGGATGGAAAAGCTTATAAATTGAATGCATGACTAAAAGTTGGCTATGCCATTTGTTTATCTTTTTAATATGCATTATAATACTTGTCACTCAATCCCCACACATTTTAAAGAATATTAAATAATTTTCAAAGTAACATATGATTGAATGAAAACATTTTCTTTTAGAACACTACAACATAAAAGATAAAAATCACATTTTTTTTAAAGAAGACTCCATGAAGCAGGGTAAAATTAGGAAGAAACACTAAATGTGGCATGACAAGGCAAGTTTAAATTTAGCATATTAAGGTTAATTATTTTCTTCCCCGGTCTGTTTTGCTCCATTTTAGGCTTACTTCTTTAGAGTTCACCCCCCTCCACAAAAATCCTGGCTCCGCCATTGTTTGGTACAATGTCTTAACTCGTACTATGTTGTTATAATATTAGTACAATATGTCAATATCCTTCTTTTGATGAACAGTAATATCATTGAAAGACATTAAGAGGATGCAACAAAGATACAAAAGCAAAAGTAGTGGCTGACTTAGGGTTATGATAGGCGAGGCACCTTGCCTCTGTCCTGCAAGGAGAGCAGTGACAATAAAAGGTGATAAGAAGGCAACGAGCCGAGGTGAGGAGTTCTCCTTTTCAAAAAAAAAAAAGAAGAAAAAACCTCGGCCTTGAAAACTTGAAACGTAATTTTAGGTTTTTTCCAACTTACCTCTTTTCAGTTGACAGAGTTCTCCATCTTTTCCTTGTTCTCTTCTTTCATGAGCCATCTGGAGAAGATTTATAGTAGGGAAATATGGTTTGCTTTGCTTACTCAATGGACAACTGAGGAAGTTGTGGGCACCATTGGGTGTAGTGTTCGGAAAACCATAAGAAGACTGTGGCCCCAGTTCAACAATAACATCTCAGTCAATGTGGGTGACAGTTTAAAAACTGACTTCTGGAATGAAGTGTGGATTGGAGAAGATAGTCTTAGAAATTCCTTTTCCATACCTATATACCTAAGTCTTCAGAGGAATTCAAAGGTAGCCCAAGTTAGGAGCCAATAGGGTTGGATCTCTTATTTAGAAGAGCATTTAATGAGAAATTGGAGAAGTTGTCAATTTATTGGAAGTTCTAAACTCACATCCAGCTTTATCTGTGAGACATGACAAACCTAGATGGAAACTACACAACAAGGGGGTGTTCATTGTGAAATCATGTTATCGGAATCTTAACACACTAGGAAAAGAGCAACTCTGGTGGAGAACTATCCTAGCATGCATATGGTGGACTCTTTGGAAAGAAAGGAACTCAAGGTGCTTTGATGGACACAACACCAACTTACAGTAAATTAGGATGAATTGTATAAGCCTTTTGTTTTATTGGTGTAAACAAAATCTGATAGGGGAGATAATAGAATTAGTTGTTTTTATAGTGAACTTGTAAAGAATACCCCGTGTAGGATGTAAGTTTCCAATTCATCATTTTTTGGATGACGAATCTTTTGGTGTGAATACAAGGTTACCCTTTTCTAAAAAAATCATAGCAAAATGGAGGCTTAGAAAAGCACTCAAGGGTGTGGCTTAGTGATCAATGAAGTGGTTGTGAACTCTAAGGTCTCAGGTTGAAAACTCAGTTGAGACAAAAAATACTAGGTGATTATTTCCACTTTTCCTATCTTGGATGGACAAAGTTACACCTGCTGATGGTGGGAAGTGACATGTCTCCCTTAGAATTATTGGAGATGGGCAAAAGCTGGCTCGCACACCACGGTCATAAAAAAGGAATAAAAAAGAGAAGCTTAGAAAAGCAAAAAATTCTTGAAACCAAGATGATCTTATGGGAGCGTGCTGTAACTGCTTTTGCATCACCGTTCTGTGACGTAGGGGATCCCTTTTAATTGTTTCAATTACTGAACTTTGATAAATTCATGAGTTCGTAGGATAACATAACCTAGGGATGAAGCCTCGTAGCAATCACGAAGCCAAGAGTTTCTCATTTAAAAATGTGGTGAAGAAGTTGAGGAACATTAAGTATTAATGGATGAAGTTAGGATGTTCTATTATGAACAAATGGACAACACAAAATGGAACCTTTTGTGTCATCGTTGACTCCGATGAACCCTTCATTTTTTTCAATGAATTCGAAGGTATCGAATGATCAAGCATTCAATGAGATCCAAAAGCTTTAATTGAGATACTTTTGTGAAGGTGCCTACCCTTTCTTTCTGCCAGAGTATGGTGACCCCTCCAAAACATTCCGTTTCAAGCAAGCTTTAACTACCTCCTATCTCAATGGGAATTCAAAAAGGAAAAGATTGTGATCAATTTGACTAATTTTCTGGTATGTAGTGATTTTTCATCTCGAGACAAACCATATTTGGATAATTTCTGCCTTTCGGATGTGGTTGAAAGGATCACTGGATCTTCCAATTAGACACCTAGCAATAGGATGGTTGCTATCATACCAAGCAGAGTTGTTGCTGCCTCTGCTGGCTAATTCAGAATAGTTGTAGCTGCAAAAAAGGATTTTGTTAATGGCGTTGACGGTGCAAATGAACGTTGATTCTTCAGATTACAGAGGATTGTCACTGCAATTTCTGTCTAACTATAAATCATTCTTTGGTTCTTTTTCTGATCTCCTACTCACATTTCCACACTCAAGAACCGACCATATATGTTGTAGTCTTGATAGACCCTCGATAGATTAGATTGTTGTTTCCTTCTCCATCTTCTGTATAAATCTCCTGCCCCTTTAGATGCTATACGAAGTATTGTGCACATCCAACCGAGGTTATTTTCGTTTATCTTGATACTGTAAAGCGTTTGCCTCATTCCATGGTTGAGAACCAACTGATGCGATCATCACCAATATTTGCTAACTTAAATGATTTATCATCTGAAACAAAGATTAGGTTACCACCCATAGTGTTATAGAAACTTTCAACAAAGAAGACCTCACCCGAGAATGTAGGGAAAAAAGGGGTAACGACAAGTTCCTAAGTCAGACCTAAAAGAGGCATTTTTTCAAAAGTGCTCTGACTTTTTACCCCGACAGTCAATATCTACTGAAGATTCTCTGATACCTTAAGCACTAGGGCCTTGGTTTATTGAGCTTTTTTTATTGAGTGAAGTGGTGAAAATACCTCCAAACTTGACACAAATGATTACTCCAATCCCAGAACTATGCCAAATAATAAAACACCTTTACACTTATCTAATTGAGCGTAAATACACCTCGATCTGCCACAAGAACATAATGTGTCATCACTTGCGGTCCAGCTGGAGTATTGTGCTGATGTATTGTAGATGTGCCCTCCACATAGATAGTGTAAAACCACTTCACTCTAATATTACCTACCCAACTAAAATAAACTCACCCGATCATGTTCTGAAAAGAACTCATCTATCTCTATCCAAATTTTCTCTCAAAAGGACCCATCTCTCTCAAAATTGCAAATAACCCTTTGATTTTCATTGAAAATCAAAGGGTTTTGGCCTAGAAATCTTCGATTCGAAGATTTAGGCTAGGGTTTTAGCTCATGTGAGAAATATAGGAGAAAAATATTATTAAATTGTGTCTCTACATTATCACATTGAGACCTTATGTATGAATACTACATTAGACTTCTTTTCCAATTATGACACTACTTTATAATCCTTTTCCAAGTAGGCTTCTATATAGTATTTATATTCTAAGTAGGATCGTATATACTATTCTTTTTCCTATTCATATTCTAACATCTGTATTATACTGATTTGTGATTTATATAGTTTGGGGGTCGTGATTTTGGTTAGGGTTTTGTTGGGTTGTTATTTTCGATCGCCGACACTTTTACTCCGTTGTTCTTTTGCTTCTTTTGTTAAGTATTTTAGTCATCTTCTTCATAAGTTAGTGCTTTAAAACAATTTCTATTTTTAATTAGGGAGTCTGAAAATTGAGTTAGCATTTGAAGAGCATGAGTAAATGGAGGAAACTTAGAGCCTATTTTGATTGGCTTATTTAAGTGCTTCTAAGCTTAAATAACTTTTAAGCATTTTTTTAGTGTTTGGGCAATTAAAAAAAGAAGGCTTATAAGCACTTGGTTTTAAGCTAAAATGATAAAATAAGTCAAAAATGAAAAGCCAATCCAAATAGGCTCTCAAATTTGAGTTCTAATTTGAGATATGTTTTAATGAAGGAAACTTAAATTTGAGGTGTTTTTTTTTCTGATGACAAGGGAAACCTGCTGCCCCTACCCTTTGGGTGCGCACAGGTTAAAAACCTCGCTCCCATGTAATAGTTCGCAAACCACATAAGAGAGGTAACGTGCACTAGGCTTGGCCCAGTAGGCAAATCCCTTGCTTTCGCTAGCAAGGGGTTTCGAAGTTGAGAGCAAAAGCAAGGGGTTTCAAACTTGAGACCTCAACGTATAAGTTCCAAGCCCAAACCATTGTGCCACCTCAAAGGGTAATTTGAGGTGTGTTTGTGGTATGTTTAGTGGAGGAAACTTAAATTTGAGGTGTTTTTGAGGTATGTTTCAATGGAGGAAACTTCAATAGGAAGAAGAAGGATTGTTATAGTCATTGGGGTCTTTTAAAATTAATGGGAAAAGAAAAATGAGTTTTTCTACCGTTTTTCAAATGGTTTACTGCTTAGGTGCCATATTTATTAAGAGTGTCACACTCCTTCAAGGGTGTGAGACCCAAGCTTGGGGGTGTTTTCACCACTTCACTCTTTTTATTTTTGAAGTTGATCGAGTTTTTTTCTCAAAAAATAATAGTTTGATTTCTGGCGAATAGGTTATTAAATATGCCACTTCTATTATTTTATTAATATCTTTTTTTGCTTGCTTTAAATGCTATTTATAAGAAAGTTGCTTGCTCAAAAGCTCTGACGAGTAAGTCTATAAGTATATCATTCTTGCATGGATGTTTCCTGTTTATTGCAGCTACAATCCTGCTGTTCCAATGCGTCCTGCCGGTTGGCCAGTTCCTCCTCGGCCCCTTCCTTGGTATCCACAGTATCCTGCTGTCATGTTTCCACCTACTGCACCTATGGGTTTGCCGCAACAACCACTGTTTCCTGTGCAGAATGTCAGGCCTCCAGTGCAAGCAACTGCACCACCTATACTTCAACCATCACTACCTGTTGCTCCTCCAGGACTGCCAGTATCTACCCCACCTGTTCCTGTGTCTCAACCATTATTTCCTGTGGTTCCTAACAACAATTTTATTCAAAGTTTGCCAATGCTGACTGCAAGTGTGCCATTAAGCGCACCTGCTGAAGTGAACAACTCAATTGCCCCTAAAATGGGAAACTGTTCTCCTTCAAGCATTGGCTATCAGGTTCCAGGTAACCTATGCTTATTCTCTCGTTGACCTGTATTGTTAAAATTTGTAATGCGCGTCTTTTGGTGGAACTAAGGCCACATTATGTGCAACCAGGTATCCTATTTGTTTCAATCCTATCTCTGGCCACAGAACGATGTGGCCTTAGATGCTAGTGGTTTCAGCATCTTGCAGGGATAAACTTTGTTATTGTCATAGTTATGCTGATAGTGTGATGTTCTATTTGGTGGCACATACATGTATCCTAGAACTATATACTCTAAATTTTTCTGCATCTTTTGTTTCATGGATTATTTATTGACTTAGGCATTATAAGATCTCTACTAGCAGCCTGCATAGCTTTTATTCAATGGCAAAGGTAGTACGCCGCGGAATGTGTAGTATATGTAAGTCACGAGTTCAAATCTTCGCTTAATATTCAAGTAGAGAAGGGTAGATGTGCGGGCTCATTATCATGAGTTTTGAAGTAATAAATGACAGATTTTTCAGTTATTCCCAAACAAAATCCTTAGTAGTGATGTAATAGCTACTCGTGTATGTTGATGGGATTTAATAGTCAATCTGTTCACGAGTAGTTTACACGGATGTTAAAGTATATGATGTGTCTCGTGATGTCAATCGTTGTGGAAAAGAAAAAAGGACACATCTTTTCCCTTCTATGATTCACTTCAGCTGTTTTGAAATTCTTGATTGATTCTGTGTTATCATTCTATGCATCTTCTTTATTAGTTAATGTGGGAGAATGTGAGTCTTGCTTTTTATAGGCCAACTGTTGATGATGTGGGTAACTCTTTGTATGATTTCATTGCCCACTTAAATCTTTCAAAAAAATTGATAATTCTTTTTTTCACATTTCATTTTTCCTTTGCAGCCCCAGCATTAGTAAATTTACATTCTTATGCCTCTGGCCCTAATACTGGTGGACCCTCAATTGGACCACCTCCTGTAATTACAAACAAAGCTCCAGCATTTGTTGAGGTCTACTTGGTTTGGGATGATGACGCTATGTCCATGGTTTGTACTCTTTGCTTTTTCTGGTGGAATTCATTTATTTTCGGTGACTGTGATACTGAATGGTGGTCTGCAATTTTACAGGAGGAAAGACGAATGTCCTTGCCAAAGTACCAGGTGCATGATGAGACTAGCCAGGTAAGTTATCATTACCTAGAACTGGTATTCTTTCTTCTGGATATGGACTTGAGCTGCGCCTGTCGAGAGGTGTTGCATTCCATTTCTCAGATTCAGTTGTTTAACTATTCTTTCCTTGTCCTTAAGCAAGTTGTCCCCATTCTCCTTCCTCTTGCTGAAACTATCTGATAAACTCTTTGAAGAATATCTGATAATCCAATCAATCATACTTGATGTTTCGACCCCATTAGTTCATGGACTGTTTTATCTTTGGCCACTCACTGGTTGGCAAGGAATCCCAATAAGTGTGTTCATCGAAAGATTCAAGTATGTATTTTTATTATCTTTTGCTCGTAATTAAGTAATGATATTTCTGTCAAGATGGTGAGCATCTACTCTGAGGAACAGGATTATGAATCGAGTGTATGTATTTGTTCTTGGAAATTTCATTTTCTGTGTTTAAATCTTCGCCTGTGCTTGGCCTTGAAAAGATTTGGGTTTGGGTGAGCAAGCGTACACCTCCAGATGCGCTGTAAATTATATTGATTATACTATTGACATATGGTCAAACAGAGTTTCAATGTTGGCTCAGGTCAGATTCTTTTGCCGGGTTAGGAATCTCATTGTATCAGAAGCATCCTATGATTTTCCACTTGTTTGTAATTCTGAGTACTATCGGTATTTCTGTCTTAAGGACTGTTTGTGGTTTCTTCTTTCAGATGACCTCAATAGATGCAGCAATAGACAGAAGAATCTCAGAAAGCAGGCTAGCTGGGAGTATGGCTTTCTAAACATTAGCAACATCTAGTGCTATAGTTTTCCTTTGATGCAGGGTGCTTGCAACTCCAGGAATACAACTCTTTGCATATCAGTTTTTGATGTAAAAATCTTTTAAGAGCCATTATTTTTACCCTGTATTGGAGAAAGGAAGATAGAATGGGAACCTTATTTTTCTTTAGGGTGTGTTGGGTACAGATCCTCTTCTTGTGCTCGATTGGTTAAAACTTTTGAAAAATATTTTCTTTAGGAAGACGCTCTTTAAAGAATTTCTTAAAGTAAAATGACTTTTCTTAATGAAGGTAGGGTAAACAAGCATTGTTATCCCAACTCCATCTTATAGTTTTGTTTTAGATATCTTCAAATGTTTTTAGCATAATATTTTTTATTTGTATACCAAAACCTATAGTATTTTCCAAAATAAAATATTCTTCCTAAAATCCATTTTTCTCTCTATCGAGCACCTTTAATCTTTACCACTGAATCAATCCCATCCCGTCCTAAAGTGGATTGGCTTCATACATTCAGTTGTTGCTGATTTTATTATTTAAGGTGTTCTGTTTGCGGTTATACTCGCCTTTCAAAGGACTTAACATCTGATATGATTAAGTGATGGAAATATATTGAAAAAAAGTTTAACATGCTCTTTTAACTTAGTTTAAATTGACATTTATAATCTTGAATTTTGGATGTGCCCAAATGGATATTCAATTTTGTATGAAATTGAATGACTAGATCCACACATCCAAGGAGACACAACACACATAGGAGTTACGATGCAAATTAGTGATGTAGGGTGTCAGAAAATGCATGTCCGTTTGTTCAATTTTCTTCCAACTTAAGCATTTGTTTATGTATGTCAAAAGTTGGAGGATATAAATGCAGGTTGAAGCTAAGTCAACTGACACATTTATGTATTAGACCTTATTTGTATTTGACATCTTTCCTTATTTAGCATTTTTACCATTAGTATTGCATTCTGATTATCATTTCTCCCAATGTGATGGATAGAGTGAATTAGAAAAAAATAATTTGTCCATTGGCTTTGTGCATTGCTACTATTTTGTTTGGTATATTATTTAACATATGTTTAGTTATTACATTCTATTCGATATTAAAGGTATTTCTAATATAAGAAAATTCATGATATAATATAAAAGATTTTAATGCCATTAACATGATAAATGACATATTGCCTCTCAAAATCTTTCGCATCCTCCCAGTTTCCACCATTCAATGTTTCTATCATTTTTTAATTTCGTTCTTTTGTCTTTTATGTGACAACCCTCATTTATGACTAAGACTGGACAACAGAACATGATGTATCGGTATCGGTCTGGTATCATTTTGGTTCGTCCTGATTTGGTTGCCTACGAGACTTAATGGAACATTCTGAATCGGTACACGGAATGGAGCACTAGTACCGGTTTATCCAGATTTATTTCGGTTTTGATCCGATCTGGTTCAGTTCGGTTCTGATTAATTAATATTTATTAATTAATATATATTATATAATTATAAATTATAATTTATATTTTATAATTTGTGTAATTGTTTTATCTTTGTTTTTATTTAATTTTGTAAAATTACAAATTTAAGTTATTTAAACTACAAATTAAAAATATAACTTATAAATTATAACATATTAATAAATAATAAGTAATAGCTTATAAACTTCAAAAGATTTAAATCTTGAAAACTTAATTAGACTTAACTTGCAAACTTAATAAGTAAATTTTTTTAAAAAATATCTTTAAAATAAACTTAAGTAAAAATTACACTATAAATTTAAAAACTATTAATTTACACTTAGAAAAATAAAAAAATATTCATATTTTCGTAATTGAAGAAAAATCATTTTTGAAAATAACTAGATGTATCATCCCGTTTATCTCATTCCGTTCCATTCCGGTCTATTTCGGACCGTCTCGATTCCATCCCGGTATATAGTGGGATGGGATGGAACCGAATATCCGTCCTGATGATTCCGATTCGGTTCATCCCGATACCGATTTGTTTCAGTCTGATGATACCATTCCGAGTCGTTGCCAGTCTTATTTATGACCATGTTGAGTTTAACAAACGTGATTTTTGAATAGTGAGACACTACTACAAAAATTGCAGTTTTCACTTTTCCTATATAGAAAGTCACGATAAATTTAGATTCCATCTTCTTAACCTGTTTATTTAATTTTAATTACTAGAGAATGAAACTAGCTCTAATATGGTTCAAAGATAATACAAAAGTTTCATATAATAAACCTCAACTAATTATACTTTTGATTCTGATATACTATTTGCTATTATGTTAAAAAAACAACCATTCTCAACTCACGGTGTTCTTCAAATTTTTTCCTTGACCATATAAGTGAACCAAAACATATACATATTACCATTGATGTGGCCCTATATATCATAATAGGCCTAAGTCATACACGACCCCTTAAAGTTGTCCTCATATTTCATTTAGCCACCTTACTTCGATCTTTTACCTATTGAATACCTATACTAGAATATATTTGTACCTATTAAACAATTTTTGCTGACATGACAGCATGTGCGTAATACATACACCCAAAAGAGAGTGAAAGATATCATTTACTTATAAAAAATAAAGATTTTTTTAAAAAATAATTAAAGTAACATCTCTTCTTCTTCTTTGACTCAAATCAACCACCATTGCCACTAACTTTTCGCCATCACCATTCTTTCTCCGATTATCTTCTTCCCCTTTAATTTTTCAAGTCATTGTTTTCTTCTCCTTCTTTCACCATCCACCACTGACAATATCAATATCTAAATTTATTGTCGTAAAAAATTGAATCAAAAATAATTTTGATGATCCATTTTTTCCAACTGATCTGAAATTATCTTTTCAAAATCGTTAAAAAATTTAAATTCTTCAGAACTCACAACATAAAAGAAAAAAAGTATCAACAAATTTAAATTGATGTTTAAGAAAGTAGTGAAATTGGAAAAAATATCAATTACAATGTTGAATAAGATCCAAGGAGATGAGCAGGTGAATGGATGGGAAAAAATTCATACAATTTAAAATTGAAAGGAAAAAAATGAAGTGAAAATGACTATCAGAATATGCTTCGATTTTGCCTCTTCTAATAAAGAAAATGGGGAACGGGCATGGGGTTGGTGGGTTGTTTTCTGGGAAGAAGAAGAAAAAGGGAAAGAAAGATTTTGTTTTTTTTTCTTAAAAAAATTATTTTTATTGAAAAAATAGTTTTTGTTTATTTTATTTTTTAATTAATGTTTAACTATTTTTTATGGGCCCAATGCCATATTTTTCTTTTCAGTTAGCTATTATGTTACGTCAGCCGCGAGTGTATAACACACTATCTTTGCTTTTAGTTAATTGTCAAAATATGTTCAATTGAATTTTTTTTAAACTAAAAAAGGTGTTCAATTGAAACAAGTCTAAGATAAGGTGTCAAATGAAATATGCGAAGACCTTCAAGTGGCTGGAGATGACTTAAGCCATCATAATAAGTATATATTATAATAATTTTGGGGTGAAAATCAATTTCATCCCCCAACTTTTACATTTAAAATCAAGGTATAATACATAAATATGCCCTTTAACTTGGTTTCGAATCACATTTATATCCTTCAACTTTGGGTGTGCACAAGTAGACACTTGTATAAACTTGAACAAATAAACACACATATCCTACATGTCATTTTTTGTCCTAAGTAGTGTCCTACGTGTTATTTTTTCATGTAGGACTCATGTGTTTATTTATTTAAAAATTGAATAGTTAAAGTGTTTATTTGTGCATTATGAAAATTGGAGGTCAAAGTTAAAATTTAAAATCAAATTTAAAGTCCAATATATGAATTATGCCTAAAATCAAATTCCCTTCTCAATTTGAAACAATATCAAACTTCTTCCTTTATTTTATGCATTGACCATTTTTTCCTTGTTATTTCACATATATGTAATACTCCTTCATATTACATATAATTTATTTTTCAATCTAAGTATTATAATGATCCTGAAGGTAATTTTTTTAGAAATTTCTATTTATAATGTTTTACTCCTCCCGGTAGTTACCCCAAATCTTGTTTGATCAGTTTACAAAGTTGATTTTGAAATTTGATTGTAAAATGTGATTTTGGAAAGTTCAGAGTTTTGGAGAGTTAAAGTTGTTAAAAATAGTTTTTGGTAATAATCGGATCTACGAGTCTCGAAATGAAATTTTGTCAATTCTATCAGTTTTGAAACATGACTTTCGGGTTTGCTAGACTATTGGCTTGGGTCCAAAGACTTTTGGTTTAATTTTGATTCATTAGACAAGATATGGAGAAAGTTAACGCTAAAATTTGACTTTAGTCAACGCTTGAGTTAGAAAGACCATTTTCGAGTTTTGATGATTTCATTAGGTCCAAGTGGTGATATTTGGTTTATTTGAAGGTTTGATTTAGTTCCTGAAGCTTTTGAATGAGTTTCACGTCCTTATTTGAAAATTTGGAGATTCTTAAGTTAAAAGGTGACTTTGGTTAATATCAGGTTAAGGTGACCTTGTTTGAATTTCCTGATGATTGTATTGACTCTGACAAATCATCTTTAAGCTAGTAGCATATTTGGTTTGTGTTCGAGAGGTTTCAATGAAGTGTGAGTGAATTTTACGCTATTTGGATGCTTTGACTTTATTTCAGCAATTTATGTCAACTAAAAGGTTAGTTATTAGTTTTAATGATTGAAATTTTATAGGAATGATTTGTAAAGTTTGGTGCTTTTTTGCTAAGTCGATATTGAACTTTTATCACAATTATGAATAATTATTTATCGAATAGAAATGATATTTAATTAGACAAACAAGAATGAAATTGAATTTCGACTGGACGAGCAAATTCACGTCATTATTTAAAACATTCAAGAAAAAGAGGTCATTTCTCTGTCGTATGGGAAGTTACGGTCTTTTTAGGAAAATAAAAGATGCTGATGCACTGATATAAATCATTTTCATCCTCCAACTTTGCTTTTAAAATCAATTCCCTCCTCAATTTTGAACAATAACCGAAGTTCTACTTTTATTTTATAAATTACCCATTTTACCCTTGTTTATATATATATATATATATATATATATATATATATATATATATATATATATATATAAAATACCTCTTTATATTACATATAATTTATTTTATTAATCTAGCTATTTATATCTTTTTCCTTAAGTTCATTAATACCATGAGTAGAATAATATTTTTATTAATTTGTGACAAAATTTAATATTATTTTTATAATTGTTACATATTACATCGTGTGTACA